CGTGTACAAAGCCCACGCGGTAAAATTCATCATGCTTAGATCGTTGTTTACTTGCCTTCAAGGCCAGAAAACGGCGCAGCGTTATGTTGAAAATTCTGAAAAAACTTCAATTTGACGCAAAATCTTCCATTAAACAATACTTTTTGAACACATTTTTACTTGAACATAATATTTACCGGGTCATCGAATCGTCAAATTGTCGTTAGGCCCTGCTTGAAGTCCGAAAGTTCGGTTTCACTTTACGTCCATAACTCTTATCGCCTTAGAGAATCGTAGCGTCGTTGACTCGAGAGCCTATTCTGTCTCCTTTAAGACCTTTATATTTATTCTTTTCCAAGCAGAGTATTCTATAGCATTGTTACTTTACATTCTGAGTTTCACAAGGTCTAACTCGATCGCAAATGAACGAAAAATCCGACTTAAAAATTTTGAGGGTCGGCCGCGCGGACGCCATATTTTCAAGTTTGATCATATAGTACTTTAGTGAAAGCATACATGACAGAGAGCACTTACGTACGTACGCACGCTCGGTCAGTCACGTGACAACCAAACGAAAAGAGGTTGACCATATTCCATGGGTATGGGGCTCTGCAGCACGCGCGCTTCGCGCGCGTGGGAGCCCCGCTATCATTTGAGATAGTACAGTTTATTGAACAAATCCCATAAGTCAAGAAAATGTCCTCTAATGTATCTTTATACTGGCTGCATTGACCTTTTGCAAAAACGTTAAGATAGAAATGACACTGCTAAAATCCTCCTAAAAACATATTTGAGTTTATTCAGACTAGTTCTCATGCTTCATGTGGTATTATGTTATTAAATGCTTTAATGCTTCAGTGAAAGGTTCGAACATTTTACTTGCCACTTACGACAGAAACCAGCAGAAAAGATAACTTATGAATTACCTGGCTAATCGTTTCAAAGTTAGTAAAATCAAAACCTTGTTGCTAACCATCCTCGGCGATTAGATGATCGAATGAGCAAAATGGGCGAGATTGCATGGTGGGGCGGATGGAAAGAAAGAGTTAAGCCCCTCGCGAGTGATGATCCGTGTTCCTTATTGGTTCCGCCTGAGACTCCGGCCTGGCAGCGCAGTTTCGTAGACGTGTTTGTATGATAACAAAGCAGAGAAACACGTGAATAAGGAAACCAAGGTACATCGGTGGGTCGGCCTCAAAGAGAATTGTCAGGGTTTCATTCTTTATTGCTGACCTATGAAAAAACTGAGTTCAGAGGTTAGTTTTAAGATTCCGGCTTGGCAGGAAAATCTACTCTCTAACCGTCGTGCAATACGTACTCGTTTTCTCTTCCAATGCCAATATTGTTATCGCGTTTGAGCAAAAAACAACAAAAGAAAATTAAAAGGGAGAAACTAAGAAATCGCTAAAAACGCTAAAAATATAAAAAAAATGAGCTGTATTATCGTTGTTATTTCGTCAACTACGGACGTGTTGTATCACTGAATTTAAAGTTTAAATACGATTTAAAATTAAGTTACTTAGTAACGACAAAAAGGAAAATTTTATTCCTTGAAAGATGGTTTTCGAGAGTTCGAATCTTACAAAACTACATTGGCATGCACGCTCTCATCTTCATGCAGAAACGTTACATTATGACTATTTCAGTCCTCTATCGGTCAGTAAGGCATCTGAATGAAGGTACAAACTTGAGAAGTCGATCCAGTTTTCCAACTTTCTGATCAATCAAACCCTAGCAAAACGTTGAGAACACCGCCAAAATCACAGCAGGTACAAGAAAAAGATCTTTGTCGTCCGCCTGATTTAGAAAACCTTCGGCGTCTATTCTCCTGAAAAAGCCAATCAGAAAGGCTGTTGTAAAACTGCGTATAAAAAATTTAACGGCTATCCAGATAATGTAGGTTCGGGAAGGCAACTCTGACACGCTTGCAAGAGAAGCCCAAAGGAAAAGATAGCGGCTTGCACGATCCAGCACGTAAACCCTACTGCACCCAAGCAATAAACCTGCGAAAAGAGAGAGAAAGAATGACAATCACACAACTCTACTGGTTCGGCAGATTAAGGGAATGATAGCTTCACCTCTCTTTACCGTCTGTTGTTGTTGTTTTTTCTTTCTTATTATTCTTTTGTTTTTCTTTCATATTGTCATATTCAACATTACTTTATTTCTGATGTAAGTCACTTAAGTCGGTAAGAGTCTTATCGACTTCTGCAAAAGTGATATAACGCCTTTTTATTTTGAATCGTGTAATGGGAATCATTTAGTCGTGATTAACCAAACAACTGTTGCTTTTGAAATATGTTGTGTTGTCAAGATCAATAATCATTCAACTCTTGCACTGAGTCTGGTAGTAACACAAGTCTGTTAGTCGTTTTTTTTTTTTTAATCACCACATCTGCCTAAGAATCATAACCACTAAGAACCTCTTGGCACAAACTAAAACAATATTTACTTCAAATT